GCGTTTAATGGAAGACTTTTGTTAAATTATCACAAGAACTATTTTATTTCTAAATCTAGCTTGCAATTTGTAGCACACCACCGTACTAATTTTTTTTAGGTCAAGTTAGAAAAGTTCTCTATCTTCAATAGAACAAATTTTAGAATGAAGAACCTCATTTGGAAGGTCATTGATGAATAAAAGGAAGAGAGCGGGACCGAGGTGACTGCCTAGTAGAACACCAGATGTTCAGGCTATTAACAACATTGGAAAACTACTTTTTGCTTTCTACCAGTCAAGTCCACTTGAGAGGCGAAGGGAAAAATCCGAAATAACCAAATTCAAAGTGAAGTAAATGTTGGGAGATCTTGTCAAATGCTTTCCTGAACTCAGTGTAGATAACATCATGGTTTTTTGAAAGACTAACGAGAATGTGAGCATTGCCAAGAAAGCTGCCTATGTATATATGGAAACATAAAAAATCCTAACATATTTATGATGGGCTTAAAAACGGGGTTTGGGTTTCATTTGTGCACACACTATGGCGGTCGCAATAGCCGGATGTTTAGCATTGCGTATTGCCATTCTGAAGGCTAGGGTTCGAGCACTAGTTTGACCAACATCCAAAAGTCACATAAAATTTATTTTCCTAATTGCGGTAGCCGCCTCGGCTGGGAATTTCAAGCCCTCCGAGAGTATTTCTGACATGTAATAAAGCTCCACGTAAAAAAACATCGGCCGTTCGGAGGCGGCTTAGTGTATACTCTAGGTCCCTCCAATTGTTGGGAAAACATCTGGACGCAAAACCAAAAATTAATGTGCTTTAGTATTGGATTTCTATCATTGCACTCACGTTTACGACGATCTGCCATTTTCTACCAATAATTTTTCAGAAAGGGTAAATCTGATTCAGAAAAAAAAAATAAAAATAAAAAGCCGATACGCAGTTTGCTGGCTAATTTTTCTGACCGCCCGAATAACTAGCACGACACTTTGTTCTGAATTTTTTAATGGCTCTTCTGAATGAGCAAACTTAAAGCGTACATTAATTTTAATTTGGACAGATATTCAACTCAACGGTTGTAGCTTTAAGAGTGTTTAGTTTTATGGAAGAATCTGCAATTGCTCCTGCGAAAGTTTTTTTTAGCTTTCAAGTCATCGTACGATTAGAGCGAATTCCTTTAGAATATTTGAAGCAGGTATTTATGAATTTCATTACGTATTTGTGTTGTTTTAAAATTGTAGCTTTTTTTTGCTAAATGGAAAATTCCGATATACACATAATAATACATACATATATAGTATAAGCGCAGCAAAGGCGTCCTGTTTATTGCATAAACCGTCGATCGTCTAGCTCGTGCGCACACCCACAATTGGGTGACAATAGTGGCAGCAAAACACCAAAAAGGCAAAAAACTGCGTTAGCAACGGCCCAATACCAAATGCCAAACATAACAGCGTTAACAGCAAAAACACTCAAATCCAGCCTCAACAAAACGCATTTTTCGCATTTATTTTATTCTTTTTTTCAATTGACTGTTTTTGTTTTTTACTTTTCTAGTTTGTTTATTTGCCTTGGCTTGTTATTTGATTTGTTGTTGTTTTTTTTTTTTCTTTCGTTCGTGCAACGCACTAACGCATCGCACGCATGTGCATCAACGTGTTGTCATCATGTTGCTGTTGCACTTACTCGCTGTGTTGCAAGCCACACACTCAAAGCAGAGTACAACAAAACTATGTCGAAGAAAAAAACAAAACAAAAATAAAAAATAATAAAAATAAAAATAAAAAAGCAAAAAAATCAAAAACGCAACAAAGGCAAAACAAAAGAACGACTAAAAATTATTGGAATGTGCTTTTTCTACAACATTTACACCCTCTACCGCAGTCGCCGAATAGGAGCACACACACACACGTACATAGGTACTGTAGGAAATTGCGAATAGGAGGCATAGGAAAGTGCAAACGCAAAAAAATTGTAGCAAAACACACGATGACAGAGGTGCCAAAGAGGTAAACAATTTTGATTAATGCCAATTTGCGAAATTTCAAATTGACGTGAATCGAAAAGTTTCAATCGTTTCGGTGGAAACATTGGGAAACATTCACTCTAAAGCAATTATCAAAATTAATTTAATTTCGTTTTTATCCCCAACGAAAAGCTGTCGTTAATGTTAAATCGTTAACACATAATGTTAATCGTTAACATTGAAGTGTGCTGTTAAATCATAACCGGCAGCCATTGTAAAATTAACGTTAACAATGAGTTTGTGCGATTTCAACGTTAACGAATTCAATTCGTTTTGATACCACTGCAACGAAACGAAACGATCTCGTTTCGTTGAGCATCTCAGGTATCAATCTCCAGATGTTAACATAAGATGTTAACATAATGTGTGTTAAGATGTTAACTAACATAAATGTTAACATAAATTCAAATGTTAGTTTCAAGTGTACGGGCGATGAGGAATTACGATGATTTTGTACCCTTTACAATTTTATGATTTAAATTCGTGTTGTTGTAGCGGTGGCGAAACGAACCAAAATCAATTAATATTTTCCATTAAATTTGTTTGTTGAGCATTTCCGCTTTAATGATTAAACTTTAGCAACAACTTCCACGTTAAGATGGTCCTTTAAACTGATAGGCGTAAGATAAATTATAGTATTTCATTCATGTTGCCATGGACCGAACGATCGCGGATTTAAGAATTTAATCAACACTACATTACAGCCGTGGTTTCCATATATCATATAGTTTCTTTCCAAGGAAGGCCTGAATTCAACTTATGTTAGTCAAATTCTCTTTTATGCTGGTCCTTTTATGGTGGCCCTGAATGTGGACTGATGCCTGACGCTTCTGGTCAATGCAGAACCAGGCGCATGCTGGAATTTCGTAACAAAATTCAGTGATAATCAGACTACCGGGCAAGTTGAAGTAGTTTCAGCATAAAATCCAGTTTATGAACCATTCGACTTTATATGTTGGCAACCCCAAGCCATATACAATTAAAACTAAAAATTTTCTATCGTAGCCATGAGCCACAACTGTCGATGCATCCTCAGGAGCGACGGTATAAGGATGAGGCAAAACGATGGCACTGACAATAACAACGAAGCCAAATACAGCAACAAAACAAAATAGAAGCACGAGCATAAACATACAGACAACAACAGATGAGTATAGCTAACCAAAACGAATATCTAGATGCAACGACGTAGCCGTCGCAGCCGCGCCAACAACACCAGTGTTGGGGGCAACTACAAACTGCCCCATAGGCGTAGCGACAGCGAATCGGTTTGTATGTATGCTGGTAGCTATGTATGTAAGCAAAAGCAGCAAAGCAAAAAAATAATCAAAACAAAATTTAAAAAAATGCTAAAGCAAAAGATTTGCTAAAAAAATGGGAAAAGCGCTCAAAAGGGGCAAGGCAAAATGTAAAAAACCGCTTTCAAAAAGCAAAAAAAAAATATGGAAAGCACACGGAAGGCAAAAAAAAAAAAAATAATAAATTTTAAAGTGTGAAAAAACAAGAAGAAGTGGGGAGGGAACAATAAGGATGTGCAGTAAAAGTGCAAAACTGAAAAGTAAAAAATGATTTAGGAAAGCGTAAAAGGCAACCCACCAGCATACATACATACATATATGAGGCAATGAATAGTAATGCAGGAGTTAAAGGAAACGATAATAATCAAACGTTGTATTAGAGATGGGACGGACAAGGTGGTAAATGAAAACAAACTTAAGTTGACTTAAGCAATTTATTTTTTATGCGTACCTTAAAACGGGTTTCCTGAGTGCGCGTACATACATATATACATATCTACATATTTTTGCGTGTATTTACTGCCCTACGACTTCACGGTTCACTTAATTAAATGCGTATTTGACTTGGATATGTATGTATAGTTAAATAAAAATTAATGTACATATGTACATACAGATATATGTATAGCGGCAATCCAAATTATAAAAATGAGTCAACCAATCGTTAATTTCAAATGATGTGGTCGCCGAAAACGAACGCAGCAAAAAATAGGCAAAGATAATGGAGTTGCAAATTACAAACATCTATCTTGCTCACATACCATACAAAATACATACATACACAGTTTCATAATCACAGGCAAAAACATCATTATTACCGTTGTTATCCTCAGCATCATCAACAGTATCAGCGTCATCATCTGCCGTCGACTTCAGCTGCGTTATTAGCCGCGCTGCAGCTACATTAACACGGACGAAAGAGAAAAAGCACCCTTAACAATACAATAGCAATAACAACCAACAACATCATTAATATCAACAGCGGCAACGCGTCAATTTTACCGCCTCCTCACCGTCGCGGCAAAAAGCACGTGAAACAGTCCGATTCAGACCCGTTAGTAAACGCCAAAAAATAAAAGGATAAAAAAAAAATACAAAAAAAACCAACACCTCAAACATAATTGTACACTCACACTTATCAATGGAAAATATGTAGTAGAAATGCAAAACATAAAACGCACAACAACAATAAAACGCAAAAAATTATACATATTTGTTGCTGCTATTCGTAACAATTTTTTATTATTCAAAAGCACGCGCGAGTATATTCATCGACGTGCGTATGTGTGTGTGTAGGTTTGTGTGTGTGTAGGTTTGTGCGAGAGTGATGTATGGACCAATGTGGAGCAGCGGGCACAAGTGTACAAGTGGACATGGTCAGGTCTGCTTTGACTGTTTTGTGAATACTTAGTGTGCAATTGTGGCAAGAGCGTGCAAAGCAAAACACCAGGCGACGCGTGCCACCGTGTATCGAGAGCACCGAGGAAAGCAACAAAATTATGGAGTATATTGGAAAGATCAAATGGAAATGGTCACTCTTTTACGTATGAATTACTTCCAATCTACATATGAATATCCGTTTAATAGTTATGCACATACATATACATATGTACATGTTTAAGAAAAAATGTCGTTGAGTTCGAATAGAAGCCACTTATCAATAATATCAGGAAAATGTTATTCAAAATCGCCATTAACAAATAAGTAAATTAATATTCGCGAACACTCTTTTTATTTCTTTTTTTTTAAGGTTTGCTCGGTCAAACTACTACACCTACAAGTTACTGAGTGCACTTTTAACACATTTAGAGCAAACACTAATACATAAGTATTTGGGTATTAATTTAGTCAGAAAAAATTGCATATAAATGGAAAAATAGTCAATGTGACGTATATTTCAATTGATCTTATCATTCCGCAAGAAGTCAGCATGGCCAATTTGTCGTCAAACGATCGGCTTGTTGCGTGCATCAACCAGAGCGCGTATCATGAGGCACTTAGCAATAGCGTAAGTACGCTTACAAGGACAACTTTCCCGCGCTGTGATGGCATGAAAAAACGAAGCGAATAAAGCCTTTAATATTTACTGCTCAATTGCTTATTGATATCTACTTACATCCCTCCTCCTGGCACACCGGGATAGAGTCGCCAGTTGCAGGCCACATTGTTTGCCTTATCAATGAACGATTCAGTTGCCAATTTCGTAGTAGGCCAGTCCCTTCCATGTAGCATTTTAAGAAACACTGCAAAAGATATACCAAATTTAAATCACATTTTTTTTTTCTTCCGTTTTATTTTGCATTACCATCCCCGTCTTATCTGTGGTATTTGGCAATTCTGCGGTTTCGTTGAAACGCTGAATGAGTTCTAAAAAGTAAAAAAAGTGACTGAGTCTTCTTCGAACACCTATTTATGTATATATATATTATATACGAAACTCACCTAACGGTATGGCGAAACTGGCGTTGCAGGTGCGAACTACTGCATCAAAGTCGAAACCCATTTCATGTTCCTCTTCTACCATGGGTGTAGTGTTTTCCACGGCTTGCAGTTGGTCCGATGCATTATTAGTCAAATTTGTTTGTGCATCTGCTGCTCCACTAGACATAATGCCAAATTGGAGCAGTAACAAAATGATGTTGAGATGACGGTGATCTAGCATCGTCTTTTTCAGAAGTTTGCAAGTAATTCCCATTTCCAATGCTGACATGAACTAACAGCTAGATGCGTGCGGTCTCGATATTTAAATGAGTATTGCCGTTAATAATTCATACAGAGCGAAATGCAATTATGTCGATTCATAGTTTCAAATTATTTAATTGACTTCACGCTACGACCAGCTCGAATGGACTGCAAGAAAAAATAGAAACTCTATAAAAAAAAATATAATACAATTAAACGAAATGAGAAAAATATATAATAAAATAAAATAAAACAAAACAAATTAAAATAAAAAGTAAAATTAGATAAAATAGAAATTGAAACTAATTTAAAACAAACAAAAAAAAATAACAAAAATTGTAAAGTACTGCATGTACCGTAACTGAAAAGAGTTGTGCGTGTGACAAAACTAACAGTAATTTTATTTAATACAGCAAAGTGCAATTTGTTTGATTGGCGTTTATTCTTGAGTTCATAACAGTGAGCAATTTACTATATTAACGAATTTGCTTTTAATTTTACTAACTACATATATACATGATATGTATGCGGATTATTTAAAATTAAACTCTATTATTCTGATACATTTTCAATATAGTTGTATGTAGTGTACATCATGGCTGTGGTGGAAGACTAGCGTTCGAATCCTGGTTCGACAAACAACCAAAATTTTAGAACACTATGGTACTTCCATAATTGTGATTGTCCTTCGGCAGGGAATGTCATGCTTTCTGAGTATAATGTTGTCCACTTGTCCGAAAAATTATGGCGGACACCGCAAAGTAGAGGCGCAAAGTTAACCGTAACCCGTTTCAGCAGTTATAAAAAGTCAATTACATATATACAATACCGATAATATGCATTTCTTTTAATCTAATTTTTAATGACGCTTGACGTGATGACTATAATTTATTCAATAATTTCGTTAAATGAAATTTATTTTATTGCTTTTCATAACCTTGTTTGTCTTTATTGGCAGTTAAATATGTTTTGTTAAAAATATATTCCACTAAGTAAATATTATGTGAAAGTCAAATCATATTTTGCAAATTATTTTCAGCCAACCCCTCTTAATCCTCTACTCGAATTGGATATAACTGAAGTGGGAAATCAAGAGATATATTTTAAGTTTACATACGTATCTACGGTCAGGAGATAATATTATCCTTCCATAAACTACTTTATTTTTTAACTATCTAATCAATATTTCAAACCAACGATTGTTTCAAGAAAAAGGGGAATTCAATTTTTCGTTTCCCAGGAACTCGCACGCAACTACATGCATTTATTTTATTTTATTATTATTTTATATCATTTTTATTTTATTTTATTTTTATTTTTTTTTTTTGTTATTTTATGTTATTTTAATTCAATTTATTTTATTTTACTTTAATTTATTTTATTTTTTTTTTGGTTCTTTTTTCATTTTATTTTATTTTACTCTATTTTACTTTATTTTATTTTATTTGTTTTTATCTTTTTATTTTATTTTATTTTGATTATTTTTTCAAATTTTATTTATCTTCTTTTATTTTATTTTACTTTATTTTATTTTGTTTAATTTTTTTATCTTTTTATTTTATTTTATTTTAGTTTAATTATTTTTTTTTATTTCACTTTAATTTATTTTATTTTTTTTATATTCTATTTTATATTGTTCTATTTTATTTTATTTTACTTTGTTTAATTTTATTTTATTTCCCTTCAATATTTAATTTTTTTATTCGATGACAATATTAGTATTTATTAACATCAATTTGTATATTGAATTTAAAAAAGTTCGGAGGGGACATAGAAGAAGCTGTGGGTCAATGAAAAAAAAAAAACATTAGACCCATACTACAAATTGGAGAAGGTGCTCGGTCGAAAATCGTTCAGTTTATATATTATATATATAGCGAAAAGAATGCCTTTTTTGAATGAAAAGATAAGCCAGACGGCAACTTGCAGAAGGTTTTAAGATCGTAGCATAGTGATACAGGAAGCAAGGAGGTAATCTGCTGTCCGATGCACAGAACACACTTACTGCATGTAAGCGCAACTCTCGAAGACGGTGAACCTGGAACCCCAGTCGATGATGATGGAAAAGAAGTCCGATTCCCCGAAAATGATGTGGTTCGAATAGCAACTGATCGATTATAGAACAACAAAGCTGCCGCAGCTGATAGTCTGCCAAACATGGCGGTGAAGAACAGACAAGGTATATTCTTCAACTTTTCTGCAGAATATGGAATTTAAGTGTGCGGTGCCATATCCATTAGTGTTTGGCAAATCAACCATTGATCAGAAACTCAGCGAAATTCGCCAAATCTTGAAAGATATCCATGAAAAAAACGGCGATATACACCACGTTTTAATCGATTTGAAGCAGCCATCGAAAGCACTATGACCTAACGCTTCTACGCCGCAATGCCCGAATTTGGTAACCAGCCAAACCTTATTCAGCTGTATAACCAATACCAGAAGCGCAGGCAGAATCGGGAAGGACCACTCGGAGGCAGACAAGATGACTATTCAATTTAAGCTGGAAAAAATTAAGAGCTGCTGCTCGAAATGGATAATTCGCAATTGCTAGAAATTGAAAAGTAAAGTCCTCTTTCGACGGACAAATGCTAAACTCTACAAGTCGCCCATTAACGGCGATAATTGCGGTAAATTTAATGATGAGCTGTACCAGTTATACGTTTACCTTGAGACCGACGAATGGTAAAAGTTCAATAGTCGTAGGAAAAATCACGCGGAGAGCGACCGTGTTTCACTTGATATTTTTAACTAGTTCAAAATGTCGAAGAAAATAAAAGAATCTCGCTTTTGTTGCTACGGTTATAATCGTGTAGGCAGTGCCAACGCCAATGAAGTAGAGGAAATATGTTTCTTGTTTCATAAAATGATTCCGGATAATGAAAATATCAGCATGATTCCAAACTTTCTATTGAAAGTTGAAAGCAACACACTGTTTATGCGTGTGGTCAGTCAGTCCGTTCTTTGCCAGTCGCTCAGTCGGCAAACGGTTTTGGCGGGGCTATGCTGGAGTATAAATGGCAATGAGAAGGCAGCAAAGCACCACCGTCAACTCTTGCTATGGGATGAGGTACATATTTATATATGTATGTATATACAACGTACTAAAAAAGTGTTTGAACGTAACCGAGTTGGAATTTGTATTTGTGTTGGTGTAAAACGCCGATAGACAGTTGAACGCATCTCTCGCCTGCGACGAGGTGAGCTGTTTTCTGTTGTGAATGGATGGCATGGAACAGATGAATGGTTAACAGCGTGACTGGTGGAAAAGAAGAACGGTGATTGGGCACATTGGGGAAAAAATTGTGCGCGTCGCAAAAAAAAATTAGAATGCAAAACATTTTTTCTCTTTCTTGTGAGCGATTTTTTGTGTTCTTCTTCTATCTTTTTTTGAATTTTGGGCTTTGCCATCACCATTCGTTTTGTCTTTGCTTGCGCTACTGCAACTGCCTGGTTGATTTTTTTCCATGCTGGTTAGCTAGATTTTTTTGTTCCATTTTTTAAAAGAAACCCCGTTAGAGACCCAATGCAACAGCCAAGCACGTCACTGTTGCGCTTTGTTGCCATTGCTTTTCTCTTATTTACAGAATTACATAGTATGTAAGTACATACATTTGTACCATACGGTTAGCTAGCTAGCAGAGTGTGAGGGGTGAGCGCAGTGTTTTGCATTGCTAGACAACAGGAGATTTGGCTTTGACATGATGCCGGCCTAAATTTTTTTATGGTTTTTGAATAACTTGGCACACACACATATATATATATACATATATACCCATACACCTGCATACTATAGTACTTCGGGGTTGCTTTGGCTTTGAATATGTTTTCAGTGGGTTTTGTCGCGACTTGTACGGATGAGGCGGTCGGAAGACTCGGCTGATGGGTTCACAAACTAGCCAGCTAGGCTAGTGGGGTAGAGGGTGTTCGTCTGCTTTCAGTGCGGCCGAGTGGGGGTCGTGAACTGAAGTGGTAGAAAATATTTAAAAATGCGCTTTTGAATTTTTTTTTTCTTAGCAAAGCGGAGAAAAAATGTTACCCGCCAAAGGAGTAAGAGTGTGAGTACTAAAAGAGTAAAAGAATTGGAAAGTTGCGGAAAAGGCCAGAACATCCTTACAGTTGTGCTAAGCAGCAACCAAATGAAGATAATTATATTGTAAAAGAAGGTGATGATGACGTTGTCGAAGGATACGTTTTTGTCGAAGGACATTCTAACGGCTGTAAGAGCGAAAAAAACGGAAAAAATTATTTTTCTATTGGATGCTCTGAGAGAAAAACTGTACGTTACAATGATAAGAGCAGTAGCAGTGAAGAAATAATAACATCAAAAAATGGTAAAATTCATGAACTTGTGGATTGTGCTCAACAATTTTTCAGGATGTCAAGTTCCGGAATACATATATACGTGTATGTATGTACGTATAAATTATTACATATATTTTCGCTTTTACAACTTTAGAAAAATTATAGATGTTTAGTAAAATCCTTCATTGTATTGCCCGTAATTTACAAGATTTTCTATACATTTTCTCAACATTGTTGTGCATAACTGAGTTTCGTTCTGGTTTCTATCAAATGGATATTTGTGGAAATGCTTTTCATAAATTCTTCTTACTCACTTAAAAACAAGGACATCGTTAAAATAATAAATTAGCTCGCTATAGCCCAAGTATCTGCAAGTATGTCGGATACTGACGTGTGAATCCATAAGAACCATGATTTCCACACATCAAAAAGAAAACACAAAAGCGCATTTTCCAAATTAGTTCCCCTTTTGGATGTAGGTCGAACAGGACTCGTACCCTGAATTTCCGAATAGCGAAATCCTACTTTTGATGTTATACCATGCTAATTTAGGACAAATTCCTCACTACAAATTGATCTTGAACTATTTATTTAGTATGTGTCTTTTGATCGATGACAAGTGTGGATAATGAATACTGTGTGTGGACTTGGTTGTAATAAATTTTGCTTGGAGGAAACTAAAATAAAAATCACTTACGTGATGCTTTGGTCCG